TCTTTTCCTCCCTTTTTTAGCACCCTTAGAAGAAACCAATCCACTGCATTACATTCCTTATTCTAAGACATTCTAGGACAGCAAATGCTCAGTCACTCAGAGCCTTGCCTTCTATAGGTACTTGATTACAGCAATCTGCAGCTAATAGTTTGAGTAACTGTTTTGCCACCACATTCCATGGACTACAGGTATCCCCTTTAGCCTGGAAACAAGGTCATGAGTGCCTTTAAATCTAATCCAACCAGAAAATCAACTCAGAAAACCCATCTTTAAGATTCTGTTCCTCAGGAGTCACTTTCAGTACCAATCTGAATCTGACTCTACAGGAAATACAAAGGGATAGAGGAACATATTTAAAATTACCACAAGGGACACCTGGCTAGCTCAGTCCATAAAGCATGCAACTCTTGGTCTCAGGGTTGTGAGTTTAAGCCCCACGTTGGGTGTGGAGATTACTTAAAAATAAAATCTTTAAAATAATAATAAAATAAAATCACCACAAGTATCCGACCAGGCAAATCAAGAATGTGGGAAATTCTACAGGATAAATAACATAATTTCTTTATTAAATAAATGGCATGAAAAGAGGTGGGGGGGCGCAATGTGTGGCCGGGAGGAACTCCAGTAGATTAAATGAGACATAAGAAGAAAGTGTAGGGGCGCCTGGGCGGCTCAGTTAGTTGAGGGTCCGACTCTTGATTTCAGCCCAGGTCATGATCTTGGGGTTGGAGGATAGAGCCCCAAGTCGGGCTCTGCGCTCAGCAGGGAGTCCGCTTGGGATTCTCTCTCTCCCCCTCCCTCTGGCCCTCCCCCTGCTTGCATGCTCTCTCTCTAAATAAAATATATAAAATCTTAAAAAAAAAGAATAAAGTGTAATGTGTGGGTTTCTTTGTATCTTAATCACATCAACCAAATGTAAATAAACATTTTTGAGATAATCTGGAAAATTTGAACATAGGCTGGGTATTGGGTGATATTAAGAAGTTACTTTCAGGGCGCCTGGGTGGCTCAGTCGTTAGGCATCTGCTTCGGTTCGGGTCGTGATCCCAGGGTCCTGGGATCGAACCCCGCATTGGGCTTCCTGCTCAGTGGGAAGCCTGCTTCTCCCTCTCCCTGCTTGTGTTCCTGCTCTCGCTTTCTCTCTCTCTCCATCAAATAAATAAATAAAATCTTTAAAAAAAAATAATAAGTTACTTTCAACGGTGTTAGGTGAGCTGAGAAATTGTAGCGAGTTTGAAAAGAAAGTCCTTATCTGCTAGCGACACATACTGAACTATTTATGGGTGTAATGGTATCATGTATGAGATTTGTTTTGAAATACTCCTGAAAAACAGTGTGTGACGGAGTTGGTATGTAACATAACCTTGATAAAATGTGGAGAGTCATTGAAGTCGGGTGATGGGCACGTGGGAGGAGGTTAGAGATTATTCTCTTTGCTTTGAAGCATGCTTGAATATTTCCATGAAACTTTAAGATAACAATATTAAATTAAATTCTGTTGCTTGTGAAGGCTCTGAGCCTAAGGTTGACTCCCTTGCTGTTAAAACAACGCTTAGCAAGTGCTAGAAAGGTGTTAGCAATTCAATAGCTCCAAACTAAGACTTTTCTCCTTGATGTGATTGGAAGGCTTGGAAAAGATTTTAAAGGGAGATAATTTCCTTATCTGTGGATTCCGTGCAATTTCATGCTAAAATACCCTTGGGAACAAAATGTGGCAAACTCTGACCTTGAGAAGCTCTGGTGTTATAAAGCCAGCCCTGGACCAAGGGGCGGGAGGCCCAGGACCCAATTCTCACTCGGTGCTGGTCTCACCGGGAATCCCCTTGCCTTGGTTTCTTCTTCTGCGAGATGAGAGTCATCAGACTCCAGGACCTCTGGGATCTCTCCAATCAGGTCAAGCTGTGATTCAGTAAGTGATCAAGGTGTCTAACAGCACATTCAGTTGACCGGCAATCATCTCCTAAACACTGTGCACTGTGCTTCGTGCTGCGATGCACCTGGGCTTAGTGCCTGCTTTCCCAGATGCACCTCATGGTCTAGCTGCAATCCGCCATTGCCAAGAGCATGTTAGCTCCTTTTTTTTTTTTTTTTAAGATTTTATTTATTTGTCAGAGAGAGAGAGAGAGAGCACAAGCAGGCGGAGCGGCAGGCAGGAGAAGCAGGCTCCCAGAACCCTGGGATCATGACCTGAGCCGAAGGCAGCTGCTTAACCAACTGAGCCACCCAGGCGCCCCATATGTCAGCTCTTCTGAAAATAGACACTGGCCTAGTGGTACATTTTGGAAGGAATATGAAGCCGTTTTCTCCCAGAGCCCCTGCCTTCTCAATGTCCTGACCTCCGCCCCAGACCGCCTGCACTTCTGAACAGCTAAGGGAGCAGCTGTAGCCTCCTTGCCACCAGGGCATGTGATGCTCAGATCGGCCACACTGAGGAGCATTCTGGTCCTGCAGCTGGGGAAGGGCCTTCCCCTCCCCACAGGTGCTAGCAGTGGGAGGAGGGGTCCCCCAGGGGGAAATCAGGGTGCTGTGACTGGAGAAGGAGTCAAGCCCCACTGCCCTTCCTATCTGAGTACTAGAATAAACATAGGGAATTTTCCTATTTCCTCTGAGAAGAGACAACATAAAGAAATCCAGTTATGGGACACCTGGGTGGCTCAGTCGGTTAAGCAGCTGCCTTCGGCCCAGGTCATGATCCCAGGGTCCTGGGATCGAGTCCCGCATCAGGCTCCTTGCTCAGCAGGGAACCTGCTTCTCCCTCTCTCTCCGTCTGCTTGTGCTCTGTCAAATAAATAAAATCTTAAAAAAAAAAAGAAAGAAATCTAGTTATGGGGCGCCTGGGTGGCTCAGTTGTTAAGCATCTGCCTTCGGCTCAGGTCATGATCCCAGGGTCCTGGGATCCAGCCCCGCATCAGGCTCCCTGCTCGGCAGGTAGGCTGCTTCTCCCTCTCCCACTCCCCCTGCTTGTGTTCCCTCTCTCCCTGTTTCCTCTCTGTCAAAGAAATAAATAAAATCTTAAAAAAAAAAAAAAAAGAAAGAAAGAAATCCAGTTATGCTTTTTAACTAACCCCATCAAGAGGAATCAGTCCAAAAAAAATTTGTTAGCCTCTCAATTTCAGTTTTATTCTCTGTATTATAGGGATAATGCTATCTATCCCCATATAGCAGTTAAGAAGATTCAGGGAGATAATTCACGTAAAAGGCTTAGCACAATGCCTGGTGCATGAAAAAGGCTCAATGAAAGGCAGTGGTTTCAGTACCCCTTGTCCACCCAGTCCAGCTCAGCAGACCCAGAAAGCAGCTCCCAGGCTTGCCCTGGAGGGTGACCTTCTTGTTGATTATCTGTGACCCCTGCTCCCAGACTCCCCAGAGGACCCAGCAAACCGTGCCTTTGCTCATTCAATTTATGGTTCCTGAGTCATTCTCTAGGTTGAATGCCCAAGCAACTTTGCTTAGAACTCTTAAGAAACCGGGGCGCCTGGGTGGCTCAGTCGGTTAAGCGTCTGCCTTCGGCTCAGGTCATGATCCCAGGGTCCTGGGATCGAGTCTCGCATCGGGCTCCATGCTCAGTAGGGAGCCTGCTGCTCATCCTGCTTGTGTGCTCTCTCTCTCTGACAAATAAATAAATTAAAAAAAAAAAAAAAGAACTCGCAAGAAACCAATCAAATTCTTGTTTATGTGTGTTCATTAAAATACTAATGGCCATCCCTGCAGATGCTGGGCTAGATCTGCCCCATTGTTTTTCTCGAAGACTTTCCCAGTCCCTTGGCAGACACACCTAGCCCTTCTCTCCATTAGTACTCACCCGGTCCTATCTGCCTTGTTTTAAAAAAGTGCTCTACTCTCCTGCCCAGAACAGATTATTTTACCTTGGATTTAAAGAGGCACTCCCCAGAAACTCCCTAACAATTCTAAACTCTGAAATTCCAACATCAGTGGTTTTTTTCATCACCCACGTGGTCAAGACCAGTATTCTCAGCTCACCTCCAAAACTCTCCAACACCTGACCTCAACCACCACCATTATCATTTTATGTGACCTGTGCCTGATTCATACTTTGTGATTATTCTCTGTAAGAACACTTACCCACTTCTTGGTTTCTCCCAAGTTCAACAAATCCTTGCTGGACTTTAACTGTTTCTTTCTTTCTTCTTTTTTTTTTTTTTTACTATTACTTTTTTTCTTTCTTTCTTTTTTTTAGTAAGCTCTATGCCCACCTCATGACCCTGAGATCAAGAGTCACATGCTCTACCCACTGAGCCAGCCAGGCAGCCCTCCTTGTTGGACTTCAGGCAAGTCCCTTCTATGTTATAATCTGATAGGCATTTCATTTGCCTCCAGAAATCAGGCAAACCTTAAGATTTTGTAAGTAGGAAGTTTAACTCACAAGGGTGGGGTGGAGCCTGTGGTAAAGCAGAGAATACCTGGCCTATCTCAAGCCATTCAAATTCAAAATGCTTAAGAATACATCACTTCTTGGCCTTTTGGCTAAAATCAAGTGTAAAATGCTTCAGAATACAGTGAAAGCTAGGCAAAATACATCTTCTGCCCTGGGACCTTCAGAAGATCATTGTTATCAAATTCATTAATAATATGTCCCAATTCCAAATGAAATTAGACACAGGATCGCATTATAAAAATAAATAAAAGTAGTGTTTTTTTCAAAATAAGTTTTTTTTTATGATTTTAAACATATTGCTTTATTTTTGTTTTAAAACCAGCCAAAGAGGGCGCCTGGGTGGCTCAGTTGGTTAAGCGACTGCCTTCAGCTCAGGTCATGATCTTGGAGTCCCGGGATCGAGTCCCGCATCGGGCTCCCTGCTCGGCGGGGAGTCTGCTTCTCCCTCTGACCCTCCTCCCTCTCATGCTGTCTCTCATTCTCTCTCTCTCAAATAAATAAATAAAATCTTAAAAAAAAAAAAAAAAAAAAAAACAGCCAAAGAGAAGAATAGGCATTGATGATCACAAAAACTTGAAACTGAAGCTGGGTTTTGGATGACAATTGCAGACTTGAATCAGCTTCAGCAGCCAATTCACTGAACAATAATTTATTGTTCTGATATTGAGAAAAATACCAACTTGAAGAGATAATAGATATACTTGAAAATGGTCACCATTTTTAAACAGCTCTCTTTGAAACAGAGGATATTTTGCAATTAAACAGGGAATAGAGGAGAAATTTTATTCCACAGTCTGCACAAACAAGTTAACTTCATAGCTGACCCCTGATATTTTATATACTTTTCTTTCTTGGGAATAAAAACTCTGATTTTAACTGGGTATATGACGAACTGAATTTGAAAAACTGAATTTTTCAGACTCCTTTGTGGGTAGGCCGCATGACTATGTTCTGGCCAAAAGAGTATAAGCAGTGGTACCATTTGCAATTTCTGGAAACGTCTTGCTGACAGAATGTAATTGGGGTGGGTGGAGTTTAAGCAGCTATTTGGAACATGAGGTTTAACCCCCAAGCTGAGTGTGGCAGAGCAACAAAATAGAGTAAATCTAGGTGGTTGTGATCATGGAGCCACAGTCCTAGCCCTTGATCACTTTCTTCCACATTTTGTTTATATGAGAGCAAGACAAATTTTTACATAAGACATTGCTACTTTTGGTTTTCTGTCATTTGCAGTTAAACCTGACTGATGGGAAAAGTTAACCGATGAGGGCCTAGAATGTGGTAAAACTTGTTATGTAGGGATGCCTGGGTGGCTCAGTTGGTTGGAGTTTTGCTTTCGGCTCAGGTCATGATCCCAGGGTCCTGGGATTGAGCCCCAGGGCGGGTTTCCTGCTCAGTAAGGAGCCTGCTTCTCCTTCTCCCTCTGCCTGCTTATGCTCTCTTTCTCTTTGTCAAATAAATAAATAAAATCTTAAAAAACAACAACAACAACTTGTTATGTGACATTACTTAAGATTTAAGAGTGTCTTATTTGAGATTTTCAAGTAAACTTAATATCTAAAACATTAAAGGGTAGCAGAAATATGCTACTTCAAAATAGGCCACAGTGATGTGGGGTGGTGTGTTCTGCTACCCTTCACAATGGTTCTCAAACCTTTGGTCTCAGGACCCCTTTATTTTCTTAAAAATTATTGTGGCCCTTAAAGAACTTTCATTTAGTGGGCTATAAAGATCAATATTTACTGCATTAGAAATTAAAGCTAAGATCTTTTTTTTTTTTAAGATTTTATTTATTTATTCATGAGAGATAGAGAGAGAGAGAGAGGCAGAGGCAGAGGGAGAAGCAGGCTCCCCGCGGAGCAGGGAGCCCGATGCGGGACTCGATCCCAGGACCCTGGGATCATGACCTGAGCTGAAGGCAGACGCTTAACCGACTGAGCCACCCAGGCGTCCCAAGCTAAGATCTTTTTTAAAACACAAGAATGTGCAAAGATATCAGGTGTCAGAGCTGCGTGTCATGTAACCTCTGGAAAACTCCACTGGACACTTGTGAGAGAATGAGAATAAAAAAGGCAAACAACATCTTAGTAGTATTATGAAAATAGTTTGGACCTTCAAAGGACCCCCCAGGTACCCTGACCACACTTTGAGAACCACTGACCTAAAACATGAAATTTTAATCAAATGTTTAGGAAGCTCTCCCACACCTTCATGATTTAAGAATCTCTGAACATAAGGATGCTGAGGTTTGGCAGGAGAATATTTGTTTATGATTTGTTGGGTTTGATTTGGGGCCACCGGCATCCATTTCCCCTTCTTTGGGAACTACGCCTTCATTTCCTTCTCGGGTAATACCTTCTCCTGCACTTAGTCCAGCTTTAAAAAAAGAGCATGAGACTAGGCTAAGCCATCCCATTCTCCACGGCCGCAGGAACAGTTTCAGGGAGGAACACGAGGTGGAATGCAACACAGAATCTGGCCTTTTCCTCCTGGGCTGGACTAGGAGTGGAGGTCAGATCCAAAAGTAGCAGCAGCCTTCCTGAGCTCACACGGAGGCCTGCGTGAGCAAGAAGCCCACGTGAAGGAGGACAAAGTGGAGAGAGACAGAGACAGAGATAGAGATTGGCCCTGGGACGCTGGCCTGGGCCCCTACACCGGCCTGGGGCAGACGCCGTGACTTGTCTGCTCTTTCGCTGACTAATCAACAGACCCTCAGTTTTGCTCAGGGAGCTGTATGTCCAACCCCAAATACTCCACTTCCTAGACTCCGTGGTAGTGCAGGGAGGCCACGTGACCTGCTTCTGGCCAACGACTTGTAGCAGAAGTCAGTGCCTGGGGCTTCTGGGCAAGCCTGTGGAGGGAGACTCGTCCGTTGTCCCCTTTCTTCTGGGGGTGCAGGCCACCAGGGCTGGCTGACCCAAGCAGCTGTGGCAGCACTGTGGACTTCTACTCTGCAGCATCCCAAGATGGCCCAGTGCTTTGCAAAGTGCAATACAGGCTTTGGGAATCGAGTTTCTGTGACACACAGCCGAGAGCAATCCTTACGTGGTATACAGCCCTGTTCCTCAACTTCTTGCTAACAGAAGCCAATCAATCCCTTTTTGCTTCTTGCTCTTTTGGGTTGGGTTTCCTGTCGCTTTCAAGAGAAGAAACCAGATTTCTGGCTCTGAGGAGGTCTCACGTTTATTCAGCAGGCACAGAGCCATTTCTCGTTGTCTGTGAGACAAGGTGAGCCACAGTGAGACCTTTAAGAGAAAGGAGATGACCTTAGTGGCAGAGGAGACTCACCCTCTGGCTATAGAGAAACATCAAAGCAGGCTGGGAGAGAGGAAGAAAGATACCAGGCAAGGAGCAGCCTTAAGGGGAGGAGAAAATTGGTTCCAGCTTCGGAAAGGGGCTGAAGCAGTGTCTGGAGCTGCTGTCTGAGTCACAAGCATAATTTTGATGACTCCACAGCCAAGTTATGTAGGGGAGGCTCCTCCAACTTTTAGCAAACTCTGGCCCTTACTCTCTTGAGGCATGTGAAGAACTATATTCCTTCAGGGGCTGGGCCTCTAGAATTTTTCCTCTTTCCTGGAGAGGGTCAGGAAGGAGGGGATGGGGAAAAATTATTATAGAGGCACCTGGGTGGCTCAGTCAGTTAAGTGTCCAGCTCTTGATTTCGGCTCAGGTCATGATCTCAGGGTCATGAGATCCAGCCCCATGTCAGGCTCTGAGGCGCCTGTGTAAGACCCTCTCTCTCTCCCTCTCCCTCCTCCTCCACTGATGTGCATGCTCTCCCTCTCTCTAAAAAAAAGAATTCATGTAAGCATGGGCAAATTCTGGAGTCAAGAAATCTGATTCTAAGTCCTAATTCTGCACCAAATTGCTAGGGATCTTGAACAGTGTAATTTTTCTGGGACTCAGTTTCTTCTTACGTGAAATGGTCATGAGAATAGTGATCTCATGGAGTTGTTGCAAGGATTAGATGAGCTATTAAAATTTAAGAGGAAAGAATTATGTAAGATGTGACCATTGCAGGACACTGGGTAAAGGATACATGGGACCCCTGAGTACTACTGTCTTTTCAACTTCTTGTGAATCGATGGCTAGTTCAAAATAAGAAGTGCTAAAGAGGCGGTTTTTTTAGTTAATAGGAAGGAAGGAAGAGGCAAAAATCCACAGGTCCCACGTGTGGGGTTTTGCAGTTTCCTGGCAGTTAGGCAATAGGAATGAAGAGATGAAGGAATCTGACAGAACAGAAATGGATTTTGTATGGATTATTAATTAAATCCTTTTTAATGCTCTTAGAGATAGAGAAGTAAAGATTATAGAGCTTCTAAAAATGACTTGTGACTGTGGGACTTTGTTTTCTTCCACTGGGACTCTGCACAGACTGGGCCATGTGAAGCTCTGCGATTTTCCAGGGTGATGCTCTTGACAGAGACAGGTCAGTGATGCTGATGGCCTTTCACTGTCCCAACCCCCCTGTCCTCTGAACGGGCTGCCCAGCATGCCCAACCCCCACCAACATTCCTCTCAGAAAGGTGGTCCGCCTAAGGACAAAAACAATACCTTCGGCCCCTGGGCCCTTCCAGAACCTTCTCGAAGATAAAGTCTCTCAGGCCCATTACCTCATCCCATCATCCTTCCTTGGCCTCTGGAGTGGATTAGAAGCTTCCTGTGCTGGAGGACAAGGAGAAACCTGAAGAGCTGGGGTGAGCTAAACAGCTCAGGTCTCCACAGCAACTCCATGGTGCTCTAAGTCCTGACAGCTTCCTGTTGTCCATTAGGCCGGACAATTCCTCAGCTCCTTTGCCCAGGGAAAAGTGAGTGATAACAGGCAGAAAGGCCCTGGGGCTGTGGTGGCCCTGTATACAACACAGAAACCTGTCACGGAGGGGGACCTGCTGCAGGCGTTCAGGCAAGGTCCAGAGACGGTCCAGAGATGGGGGAGGTCATGAGATGTGTCCCCACACCTAAGGTCAGGATGTTTGCAGATCCTGATGCTCCATTTGGTCACCTTTGCAGTGTTGGAGGATGGCTCACACAGACAGCGTAGGACATACAGGACAGGTGGTCGTGGTAAATTTGAGGGACGGGCTCTTGCTCTGCTGGAAAGTTTGGTATCCACACCTCAGGGCACGCTATTCCCTGTGCTGAGACATCTTGAATTAGACATCAAGCTGCTGCTGACGGAGCACAGACTGGGGGCAAAGGGGGTCTGAACGGATGTGATACCCGAGGGGTGATGAGGTGCTTCTGCTCCGTAGTAGTCTGTCCTCCTCACTCCAAGACCATTAGTGGAAGGCAGTCGTTCTTAGCATAGAGGTCAAAGAGCAGGCTCTGCAGGTGCACTGTCTAAGTCCAAACTCTGATCCAACACCAAGGAACAGTGAGGCCTTGGGCAAATCGAGGTTGCAGTTTCCTGGTCTATAAAATGACCAAAAAAGAAAAAAGAAATTGAACCTATCTCTCAGGGTTTTCATGAGGATTAAATGAGATCTTGCATGTGATGTGCTTAGCCCACAGCCTGGCACATGGGACATGTACATTAAATTAAAGCTATTGTAATTAGTGGTGATGGAAAGCATCTGGACAAGTCAGTACACGGCCCCGCCCTGCTATAAGTTGCTGGTGACCTCAGATAATCTTCTCAACCTCTCTGGATCCGTGCCTCTTCCTCTGAAAATATGAAAGAGTTGAACCAAAGCTAGGCCCTTCTACTATAAAGAGCTCTGAAAATCTGGAGGAAGTCTGAGCCACTCGCAGCTAATTCACAGCTAATTCACAGCTAATTCACAGGAAATTTCAGTGCCTCAGTAAACTACACCTCCTCTGGGGAAGCAGCTGAATGACAGGGTGCTTTTCAAGATATTTGGCCAGGGTGTGATGACTCAGAAGAAACAATGAGCACAATTCTCAGTCCTGAAGGTAAGGAGAAGTCCCCTGCCAGTCCCCAGAGAGAAAGCCCTTCATAAGCTCATGGAAGGGGGCAGGGCTTTCATAGAACTCTAGAATGTCAACGCTGGAAAAGCGCTTAGGGAGTTTCTAGTTCAGGGGGTTTTAAGCTGCGTTCTGAGTGCTTCTACAGTGCCATAAACTATTAATATTCATCTCATTTTGCATACCTCAAGCTATATTTACAACTATGACTGAAAAACAGCAAAGACACCCACATTACTCACCCATTAATTTTAACACATCAGAAACCATAATCCATTAATATATTGTGGCAGATTCTGCTGGTAGTCCCCCTAAATCTACTCTTTCATTTTTACCTTTGTTGTGGAAACTGCAGTTGGGCGGGTCCATGGCCACTCAGATTAAAGACTACATTCCCCAGCCTCCCTTGCAGCTAGGTAAGGTTTTGTAATTAAGGTTTGATCATGGGATGTAAGCAGAGGTTGTGAGTGCTACTTCCAGGGGTTCAAGTGAGAAGGTGCCTTTCTTCTCATCCCTCTTCTTGCTGGATCTAACGTGGACATGATGGTGGAGGTCAGTCAGCCACCTTGGGCTCTGGATTGGAAGTTTAGTGTTGAAGATGGGGGTGGACAAAAGAGAGAAGGAGCCTTGGGTCCTTGATGATCACTGAGCTCATCCCTGTTCACCTGAGTGCCTTGGACAGCTCACCTCAGACTTGATTTACATGAAGGAAACATAAACCTCTATCTTGTTAAGCCACTTTTACTTTGGAGTTTGTGCCTTTTGCAGCTAAACCTAACTGACACAGTTGTGTTCTCAGTGATTATAACATATTAGTAACATTTTTATAGTTTACTGAAAGATTCTTTTTTTTTTTTTTTTAAAGATTTTATTTATTTATTTGAGACAGAATGAGAGACAGAGAGCATGAGAGGGAAGAGGGTCAGAGGGAGAAGCAGACTCCCTGCCGAGCAGGGAGCCCGATACGGGACTCGATCCCGGGACTCCAGGATCATGACCTGAGCCGAAGGCAGTCGCTTAACCAACTGAGCCACCCAGGCGCTCAGGTTTACTGAAAGATTCTAAGGAAAACACTACTTGTAACTCCCACTCAGGTCAAGAAATTTGCAGCCCTCTGTATGCCTTGACCCAATGACAACAAACTACTTGCCCCTAAAAGCACCTCTATCCTGACTTTTATAGTAAACACTTCCATAATATAATGATGTAATATTACCTTAAAAACACTTTGGTTAAAGAGCACTTTTATCTGTTTTAGATGGGATGACTCTTAAGACTTTGACAGAAGTCTTCCTCTGATCAGAAAGTTAGAAAATGATTGAAATAGTCTGACCACCTCATCTTACAGAGGAAGAACGTAAGGCTCGGGGAAAGGAAAAGCTTTCTAGTATCAATCAGCAAATTAGTGGCAGAGCGAACGAAGACTCAAGTTCTCTCTGACTCTTTAGCATTTCATTTTCTAGTTCTTTCCAGGAGAAAGGACCCTAGATACAAGGTACCAACCTTATCCAGTGACTCAAGGATGGGAAAGAATGGCCAACACAGCCTCTATTACAGGACATTCCATCCTCCAACACCGAATCTGGCTCTTGCCACATAGATCTCAGGGCAGAGAGGTTGCTGAGGACCTTGGCAATGGTTCTTCCCAGATGGCTTTGCCTTTTAACCTAACAAAATGCACCAGCAAAGGTCACGGAGGAGTCACAGACAGAGGCCACACAATGGAGATGATAATGAAGTGGGGCATCTCTCCCATGGTGCTGTGTGCGCTGAGCCTGACACACAGAAGCCCCAGAGATCACTGTGGTGAAGTATGATGCTGAATCTCTGGGACCAGAAGAACTGAGAGGCAGAGATGCAGGCTGAAGCAAGCCCAAGCTCTTCTGCCATATTCACTCAACTGTTTTCACCAGCGTGGGGCTGCTCCTAACTCAATTCCAGAGGAATCACTCATGCTCATGAAAGTCAATTATTTTTAAAAATGCCCATCACACTTTTTTGTAGGACATGGCAGAACCCGATAGCTCTCACTGGCCAGATTCCATAGCCCCCTCTGTCCCAGAGTTTTGGATGGTTTACAGGTAGGCCTGTTGGCTTCTGCCTTTTCCTATGGACTAGAATTAGCAAACACCATTTAGTAAAGATGTTACTATGTGTTCCCTGAGGGGGCAGGGGATATTCCAAGGACACAACGCTTAGGAAACAATGTATACTTCATCTCCCTTTTAAAGAGTCAGGAAGTACAGTGTCAGCAGAGTGAAGGCTCTGAGAATCCCCACAGTGAAGACTTTTGCTTGATTTTTTTTTTTTTTTTTTTTTTAAAGATTTTATTTATTTATTTGAGACAGAGAGAATGAGAGAGAGAGAGCACATGAGAGGGGGGAGGGTCAGAGGCAGAAGCAGGCTCCCTGCCGAGCAGGGAGCCCGATGCGGGACTCGATCCAGGGACTCCAGGATCATGACCTGAGCCGAAGGCAGTCGCTTAACCAACTGAGCCACCCAGGCACCCGACTTTTGCTTGATTTTGACTGACTTGCCATTTCCAGAACTTTTTTGACTTTTGGATCTGGTGTTTCACTAATAGCATCCTGCATAGAACATTTTGGCAAGTGACGCTGCCGCCCCTTTGAAGGATAAAGGATGCATTGATATACGTGTATCACACACACCCCATGACTAGAAAATCACCTTTCTGGCTCAGGTAGCCCATCTTTCTGGAAAAGTACTGAATTATCCCCTACTCCGTAAAACTCCATTCCTTATAGCCCCAAAAAGCAATTGCGGAACTGACCTAACCCTGCCCAGTCTGGGGTGGGATCCCGGGGGATGGCTGGCTGGGCCTCGCCGCCTGGCACTGGCCTTGTTGTACCAAGAAGCCTGGCCAGCCGGCAGCCACCCAGTGTGTGTCTGGGCTTGTTTTCCCTTCCTCTCCCTGCTCTTTTTAGAACACAGCTGAATGGCTCCAGTCTCTCAGCCCTACTCCTGGCCAACACTGGACCCCTCGAAGTCTGGCCAACTCCTCTCCCACTGCCCTTGCTAAACATCCCCCTCCGCACTGGGAAGCACAGCATTGGGCTGTTTTTCTCCCTCGTGCACCCCAGGAAGCCTCTCCTGTGCCTGGGCTTCTTTCCCAGACCTTGGCTGCCAACCATTTTAAACTCATCCTTAGCGCAGTCAGTCACCTGAAGAAAAAGAGACTCACAGAGAGCCCAAGATGAAAGAGTCTTTAATCTTGTGGCTTTTTGAGTTTTGTTTTTAGCAGGAAAGCCTTATTTTCAAAACAAACAATCATGCGGAATTTACCAGTTTATAGAACAAATAAGCAAGGACATTTATGGCAGACTTGTTTGTTCCAGCAAAACTCTAGAAAGAAACAAAATGTCCATTAGTAGCAAGCGGGCTTAATAAAGTTATGGTAAAGTCGTACCCCGGAATACTACACGGCCACCTAAAAGCGTGAGGGAACCCCCAACACTAGCAAACGTCCTAGGAAAATCCGTATTTTGGATAGACAATATTTGGCTAATGAGTTCATTTTAGGAAAAAGTGAAGAGGGGTTTCCGGGACACAGGACTTTTAAGTGATAAGATTGAGAAAAATCCCAGGCAAAAAGATGAGTTGGTCACCCTATGCTTAACAGAAATTAAGACTTTGTTTTAGAAAGAAAAGATACAAGTATATTTGTATATTTGTAAATTCACAAATGAAATTGAACCAGTATTTATACTATAAATACAGAGGCAAAACTGTGTGGACTGATAGGAAACACAAAACCATCTCAAGATATAGTAATAAGTAAGAAAAAAAGGCAAGGTACAAAGGTCAAGTGTGCTCTTGTTTTGTAAGTTTTCTCCCTCTCTCTCTTTTTTCCCCTAAAGGTCAGAGTGGGGGAGCAGTGGGAGATTTATTCATGTAATAAAGTAAAGCTTGTGACTTCTTATCTACTTGTGTACCATATCATAAGAAAATGGCCGGACTAGGGGCGCCTGGGTGGCTCAGTCGGTTAAGCGGCTGCCTTTGGCTCAGGTCAGGATCCCAGGGTCCTGGGATCGAGCCCCGCGTCAGGCTCTCTGCTCAGCGGGGAGCCTGCTTCTCCCTCTCCCTCTGCCTGTCGCTCCACCCGCTTGTGCTCTCTCTGTCTGTCAAATAAATAAATCTTTAAAAAAGAAAAAAAAAATGGCTGGACTGATTTTCACCAAATTCTAAGGACACGTTTGGGATGGTCTGACTTAAAATATGGGTTGTTTGGCATATGAAAACTTCATCCTAAGGAGCCTGAGGAGGACACTTCAAAGAGATAAGCCATCATTCTCCAGAGAAGCTGATCCTAGTTAGTAAAGAGAGGCCCACATAATCACCAATTGGGAAAGACACACAATATGGGTTCAGGTCCACTGACAGAGAAAACAAAGAGTGGCTTATAGTGAGTGTCCAAAATAAAGGATCACAAAGGATCCTAAAGACCAAACAGAAGGCCTCATTGTGCA